CAGAAATATTATTATTGTAATCATTTATCAGTACTGACACTTGTCAGACTTCATCGGAGGTGTGAGCATCACAGCAGATGCCTTTGTGTCAAAGTAACTGAAGATAAAACAGAAAAACATGAAGGAGATTTTCCTGGCCTGGCTTTTTAAAGCAGATAAGAAAACCATGAAACAACATATACCTGATGCTGCTGAAGTGAAGCAAAGCAAAGTTACAGAGGTTTTTATTAGAGATAAATCTAAGCGTTTTGTAATTTGGCATAATTTCAAAAAGCTTAAATTTTCTTCGGTAGTGAACAGAAGACATTAGGCTCTCTTGACAGAGGGCATTTTTGAAAAAACAAAAAACCAAAGATGAGAAAATTGATAGCATTCTCACTCCTAAATATGAAGCAGGAAATTGAAGATGTATAGCTTAGCATATACGAATGAAATACAGGGTAACACCTCAACTGCACAAAGGTTAAGGAATGTCCAGCGTTACAGCACGCCATCAAAAACATGGAACAAGCCATTAATGATTCCACTTGCAGAGGACAGAGCACAACTTACCGTAACTTGACGTTCTGACCAGTGTATGATTCGTAGGGTTTCTCCACATGTGTGAACTCAAAGTCAAACGTCTGTGACTGTGTGAGCTCCCCTGGTCGAGCCAAGTCTTTCACCAGAGACACAAACTCGTGATGATTCCCCCTGTCATAGTACATTTCTGGAAACACAAATTAACAGTGTCACACATTGCCAATCGCTGAAGTCATTTTAAACTCTTTTATCTGAGGAACTGCAAAGACAATTGTGTACTGACAGTCCTCACAGTGACCACTTCTCCCACTGTGCTGACACACTGACTACATGGTGCAAGCTGAATTTCAGCAGTGAAATGACTGGTCAGAAATGAATTTACATACTTTATAATTATTACTGTTTGCTTTCCATTTCCTATCTGCTCACAACTATTTCAAAATCAACTGAGATACTTTAACATGCAAATGAAAAATGCTAATCATTTTTACCAACTGAAAAAAAGACTGACAGCATGATGTTGAAACTAAGCAACGCTGTTATTTTAAAAAAATGTATTCTAAGTTTGTTTCTAGCGTGAGTGGCACATTTGCCCGCTTGATGATGTCAATCTCCATATGTCTGATCTT